CTTTTTTTACAAAGACTAGGAAATAAAACATTTTTGTACATTCAATAAGAGGAAAATACAGATTGGTGACAAATCTCTACTACATACTTTCCTACCTGTCATATCAGCATTTAATTAACGTCTCTATAAAAACAAACCCGTTAATTGTATGTCAGAAATAGACAAAGTAAATCAGTGGCCAAAGTGAAGCCAACGCAGCTAAGATAAAAGAATCGCAACGTTTCCTGACATCGAAAAATGCAACATTATATTAATGGATGCAGTTACAAAATCAGAAGGCTCTCAGTGCTATTGTTCTTCACTTCGTCACTGTAGCTAAAATTGTATTTTATTGCTAATTTACCAAAGCTGTGAATAACAGATCAGGCTAATTCTAACTATAAACCTGGCCTTTGTTTACAGGAAGCAAAAGGAAAATGCTTTTTTTTTCAACGTTTTAGGGGAAGAAATGGTGTAGAGAGGAAGCAGAAACGGTAGGTGGTGTTTTTTTCCGTGTGCGTAAACATACATAAGTCTGTTATTCTAGGACTAAATATATGCAGCAGAGCGGATGTGGCTGACAAGAGGACATGTTGTCCCTTTATTTAATGGTACATCTAAACAAAAGTATGATAAATTACATGGTCCAGGGTTTGTTTGCTGTTGGTATGTATTGGTCAAATCTGTTTTTCATTTATTTTGTTTTTAAATAATTATTTTTAATAACCATATCTCTTTGGTTAGTTTAAATGTTATTATGTAGCCATTCACTGTATTTTCTTTTACCGAAAACACCTAATATCACGTTGCAACGTTTCTCCAAAGGAAAGGAGTTCATTCCGTTTTTTAAACACAAGATGGAGCCAAAGTATCATTAAAAGGTAAGCGAAAGTCCGATCTACTCAAATTTGTTTAAAATTGTTTTAAACAATAAAAAATGGAAACAAGATTGATGTTGCTCATCTGTTTTTTTCTTTCTTTTTTGGCTTAACATAAAGAAAGACACAGTTGAAAGGAACACAATTACAAATTAGTGAGATTTTTCCCTGTGAGAATGTTTAGTGTTTTTTTTATAACGTTTATTTTATTAGTTGTACCTGCTTGTTTGCTAGTTTTGTCTGGAACTTTCTATGGTTAGCATTTTATTTATTGCATATTTTGTTTCAATTGTTTCCACAAAATTTACAGAATAATGTTCAGATTAATTACAGCAATGATTATCTTTGTGTTTTGTGAAAAATGTTTGTTATAGACACAACGAGGCAAATTTACTTCCTGTATTCTCACTGTTAACCTCAGAAAACAGAAGTGAATTTTCCACTTTCTGTCTCACAGACGAAAACAGGGAAAAGTCCCCATAACCGAAAATAACCGTGGTTTCTGTTCATCGACCAGACAGAAACCAAACACTGTTCTCACGCATGAACAGTGGAACAAGCCCAGATGATGTGAAAGTCTGTGTTCATCATAAAATATACATTTGAACAAAACGCTTCCAAGCTACTTAGCTTGAAATTCATTTTGATAAGAGAAAATAAATTGTATAGTTTCATCAATCTTAAAATGTTAAAATAACCAACCTTGTCGCTGGTGGTAATTCATGCCAGGTGTTGTTTATGCTGTGTCACAGATTGTGTTGTGAAAACACGTGAGGTCTGGTGACGAGGCTCAGCTTCCTGTGGCGTCTGAACTTTCATCACCTCATCTGCAGGAGGAGAGAGAAAGAAGAGAGGAGAATATTGTGAAATACCTTTTTTTAAAGGCACAGCGGGAAAGCTGCAGAGCATGCTGGGAGGAAATGTAAGACGTGAGGACGAGTAGCACATGGAGACACCATCTGTTGTCGGGCAACAAAACCTGAAAATAGACTGAACGCAGACACACACAAAATGTTTTCTTTTCCTGGACGTTTCTCATCAAATTAAGGCACATAGAGATTTTTTTTCACTAGTATATTTTTTAAAAATCTAAACTTTTTGTGTCGATGTTAGTCAGATTTTGAAAGAAAGTTTTGTAAAAATCGTTTTCAAAATTCAATCTTTTCCAGCACGTTTCTCATCAAATTATGGCACGTAGAGAACATTTTTTGAAATTTTTTCATTTGAATTTTTTGTCAAAATCTGAACTTTATGTAATTTTTAGTCAAATTTGGTCAGATTTTAACAAAAATGTTTGGAATTTTTTTTAAGAAATTTTATCTTTTCCTGCATGTTTCTCATCAAATTAGGGCACGTAGAGAACATTTTAAGAAATGTTTTTCTATAAAATTTTCTGTCACAATGTGAACTTTTTGTGTCATTTGGTCAAAAACTAAAGATTTTGACTAACCTTTTTGGATTTTTTCACGATGGTAA